AGGCTGATGTTCTCCGGCTTGAAGACCTCTCTGTAGGATGACTTGCTGCCGATGATGACATCCAGCTTGTGCACAGATTCCACCACAGCCCTGGATGAAAAGCATGACTGTGACTACACGAATCACCAGAAATAGCAGTTTGTCACGCAACAAAAGTCCTGAAATGTCAAAAAGCGGCAACCCTTTCTGTTTCACTTCTCTGTAACAGGATGAATGACACATGACAGCTAGTTTGCGTTCCTGGGATGAAAACTATCTGTCATGACAGAGTCAGGTGTAGTTTCAGCTACTAGCATAAAGGTATCTTAAACATTACTATCAACAACAGAAACCATCAGACTCTTTTATACATTTACTAGCTCATCGGTTAGCTCGACGAAAACGGCCTCGTTCACTCACCTGTAAAGCCGCTTGATAAGAAGGACTTTCGCCTCGGGCTCGCTGTCCTGACCCGGTCCGCTCATATTAGCGACAGGCCGGCAGTTCCACCACACCGCGGGGTCACCGTTTCATTCGGGCCTCTCGACGGAACAGCTGTCGCGGTTACTCGGCTCTGTTCCCCGTTAGTGACAACTGTGTTGTTAGCCAGCTAGCGCTAGCTCCTCGCTTAGCTTTCCCTGTGTTCCCTGAGAGTCTCTTTCTGTCTCTTGAATCCTTTGGCCAACCCCCCTCCACCCATCCGTCCTGAAAAGTGGGTAGGAAGGGGTCCCCGGCGCCTCACGGTTCTTCCAGTCAGCTAAAAAGCTCTATTACCCCTTTTGTGTTATTTTCCGTTCCGGCCATCGCTACGAAGGCGGCCATTATTCATAGCAGGCACTGACCGCCTGAATATCGCGAGAGCTCCAAAACAAAATTACGAGATTACAGAGTAAGACGTCAACAACTTCGCCATATTGGTAAGGGAAAACAAGTTGAAAAGACTAGCGTTAGCCTTTGACAGCGGTCACGACGCGTGCATTTTTGATGTTCTAGAAGTGCTTTGCGCTCCAACAACATACAACGACTTATATGGATATATAGTACAGGATACTATAGTGGGTTGACCCATTAAACTACGTAAACCTCATGACACAATTTGAAATATCGCACCTTTTATGTGGTCAAGAATGAATTTTAAAATTCCTGCAACGTTCATAACGTGTAAAGCGACACACATCGCTTTACACATTTTTACAAATAGATTTGTAACAATACGACGAAAACAAATATATTTGTAAAAATACAAAGATATTTGTACTTTTGCAAATATCTTTGTAAAACTACAAAGATTTTACTAAACACGAGTTTCCTTGCACAGCTGATAAAAGTTGTGCTTCACATTATTAATTGTGATGTATTTTTCTCTTAAGTGCGCTGAAGCATTACACGCTTCAGCAACAAGCCATTGAAAAAATAATGTTTAACATCTATTAAGTAGACATACCTAAACTTAGAGATACTGGAACGGAGAGCTGTCCATGGTGCTGCAGTGGCTTAGTTTCAACTTACTGCTAAGAAAGATGAAAGGTTTCCTACCTGGCTGCTATTCCTGTTTTAGTAAGTGATGATATTTTGAAAAACTGGCCAATCATAAGGTCTGCTTGAAATTCTCCATCAGCTGTCTTACATCAAATTTTAGTAAGTTTTTGTAAATTAATTCAGTGACATACTAACATACTTCATGATTTTTTTCAGTTACTGTGACTCATTTTTGACAATGTGTATGATATAACTGGTGCAACGTAGTTCAGTATAACTGAGTGAGATAATCTTGTTAGCCACACCTGAATCTTTCTCATAAAGAAACTGCAGGATATTTTCACTGTAGAGCTTTTCTTAGACATCTAAGATGAAAATCAGGACAAAAAATTTCCTCTAAAAGGAGAGTCTCCATTGCAGGGGAGGGTATCACCCTGATAAGTATGCAATGTTCTGCTGAATCCTCTCTTCTTGGGTCCATCATCTCCCTCGGCACTCTAGCTGAGGACAGCATGAAGAAACGATCTTCTCAGCTCTTCTGAGAGCAGACATCTGTTGCTACGGGTAGTGAGGATGGGTGTGCAGGTCCAAACAGGAGAAACTCACCTGAGAGGTTTTCTCACATCCAAGCACTGGATGGAATGAGTCGGGATGAAGAAAACAATCCTGATTCCTGGGATTTGTTAAAAAAAAATGTCTGTCTTTAAATGTCTACATCATTCCAACTTGGCATTGTTGTAGATAGATTTTGATTTTGGATGTTTTTTTAGTTAAATAAATAAATAAGTACTTTTCCTCTGATATGCCAATTAAAACAATTAAAACATAAAATATCATAAAATTCAAGATCAAACTGACACTTTAGTTTTTTTCTAAACCATTTGGCTGTTGGGGTTTTTATTATTCTAGATGGTTTGAGCTGCCTGGACTGATGATATAATTTTATTTTATGTTGTTTTATTTTCATCCATGCACAGGGAGAACATGCAAACTCCATGCTGTGAGAGCTAAAGACTTTTTTGCAGTGCTGATAACCACGCTGCTGTGCAGCCTCTTTATTTTATTATTTCATTTGAGTTCTTTTAATTATATTTTTGTGAATGTTTTGAATTTAAAGTAAAAATAAAGTATTTCAATTCAACTTTTTGATTTAAAAACAACACACTACAAGGTAAGAATTCAAATATTTTTTTTATTTATTAATTTAATTATGTATTTCTATCTCCGCTGTCACCCACCCGAAAAATATAAATTGTGGTGTGTTCAAAAAAAAAAAAAAAGAAGAAAAGAAACAATGTCATCTTCTTCAACTGCATCATTAATCAACAAAATCAAAGAGGCAATGATCATTATCATTATTACAATAATAACTCAACTAGCAGAATATCCACATTCATAACAAATCCATATATAATTGCAAAACACTCTTCAACACCACTCTTCCATTAATATACACAAAATCCCCAAAGGTCTGTCCTGGAAAAACAACAATAGAGGAAATCTGAGGGGGAAAAGGGCTATGGCTTGTAAAGGAGGGAGTGAACATGTGTGACCAGCAGAGATAATGGATCTATGATTAGTAAGAGTATATGGAGGAGGCACACTTATTTAGTTAGACCTATACAAAACAAGCAGTTTTAAGTAATAACAGTATGCTTTCATGGACAGATTTGCCTGCATAAAACGGTTCAATGAGCGCAGGATTTGGGGAGCAAAATTTCAAGAAACATATATAAGGGTTGTCAGATTAAATATATATACCTATGAATGACAACCACCCTCAAACATATATCATAGAAACCAAAAGTGATAAAACTCAAAGCAAGGTTGATAACTTTTTTTAAATAAATGCAAAAGAAGATTTCAGGAGGATGAAAAAAAAAAAAAGGTTTCGGTTTGACCATAATATGTACAAACAATGCTTGCTCACCCAAATCTTATCAAAAAAGCTTTTTAAGTTGGTCAGAAAATGAGTGCAAGCTTAAGATTATGTGAGTAGCTTCTTATTTGAGAACGTAGCTAGAAGTGACTGACCTGGCTGATATTCTAAGTCTGCGTGTAAAAAGTGCCTCTGATAGCTGTCAGTATAACGTGTAAAAACCTTTCCATGCCTCGGTGTTTGGAACTTGAGAAGACCTAGTCATACAAAGAGAGAGAAACATTAGAGGAAAAAAATAACTGTACACTCTGCATGTACAAACAAACTATATACACACAGACATACCATATATACACACACATATCCAATATGTACACAAGATTTAGCCAACACATACGCACATTTATACATTTATGTATTTACAAACACATTCACTCGTTTCAGCAGGACCTCTAACATATCTCTCTCTGTTCTCATGTCAGGCAGAAATGGCAGGAATTTTTTTTTATTCAGGTCAGACTGGTGTCAGCGGAGTCCAGCTGCAGAAATAAATGAGTAGTTTTACAGCAATTCGACTGGAAATATGGCCACAATGAAAACAACAAGTTCATCCCCCCTGCTCTGGTCAAACTCTACACAATACACAGTCAGTGTGAAGCAAACGTCCGTATTGAATCGTCCATCAATGGAGAGCTCCTCGGCGATTGTTGGACAGAAAACATTCGCTGCTGTGTCTTTCTATAATATTTTTTAAATATTAATACCCAAAAATAAAGAGCAGGCTGGTCACAGCAACGTGCAAACTGTCGTATAGGGGGAGTAGGTAGAACACAAGTTCGTCCCTCCAGTGCTTTAGAGCAACTTTGTTCTCCATCAGATTGTCTCAGTATGAAAACTTGGTTCATATAAAATGGATCGCTCCATCCGATTTTTATCAAGAAATAAATATCTCCTCCAGAAGATGTCTGATGAAGAATTTCTTTTTCCTTTAAATACTTTAATAAGAGTAATCCGTTATAGAAATATAAATAACATTCTGTCCAGTTTTTCCAAAGTCGTCTTTGAAGCAAGATTTTTTTTGTTCCTCAGCAGTTTTTGAAATAGGCTGTGCATATTTAATTTCCTTTTAAAACTCAGAAAAAGAGGAAAAACTAAAACATAGTCTGTCAAAAATCAAGAAAAAAAGACTCAAAATTTGTAATAATAGAGCTAAGGAGAGAGAAATGAAAGGTTTAGATATGAGTCAGCTTGGACTGAAATAACAAGAGAAGTCAAGCACCTTTGAAATACACTTTAGGTCTCTCTCTCTTACTTTGAGAACCACGCTGTCCTTGGCCTGTGTGTTCCTCCGTTCTGCTAATTGATCAGACTGCATAGCTGTTCTTTGCATGCTCGGCGGGCTTACAAACACCAAAGTATGTCCAGCCCACCTTAAATCGGTGAAAAATGGATCCAACAATGAGGTGTCAAACATATTATTTTCAATCCCTTTGTCAAATCAGAGAGAGAGAGGGCCCAAGTAAAGTGAAAAAAAAAGAAAGAAATCCCAGCATTTCCTTACATGGTCCGCTGGGGGATTGCACCATCCCTAGAGACAAGAGAATAGGACCAACGGCCCAAGTTCTCCCTTTGTCAGCCAATCGCGTCACGAGAGAGGGCTCTGGACATTTGGCCATGCCACCCCGAAGACTGCCGATGGTGCATCAGCCAATTAGGTTCCACATTGTCCTCCATGAAGCTTTGAGAGTGGCTAGAAGGGGGAGAAAAACAAGGGGAGACACAGAGAGAGAAGAAACGGGGCAGAGGTTCTTGATCAGGTGCTGTTAAAGCATAGATATCGAGCGGCAGTCTCTCCAAAGCTGGACTCATCCTGTTTTTTTTTTGTTTTTTTTATAATTATTTGAGTGTGTGTTAGTGTTCAGCTCTGAGGCAATTGCTTGTTTACCTGAGTCACTGAGGTATTTTCACAGCAATGTTAATTCAGGATCATTCATCACACAGGTAGATTTCACAATGAAAGGAGGAAGTAGCCCTATGTGTCTCTGCGTTAAGACTGCTAGTGTGTTTACGTTTTGGTTTAACTCTCACTGGTTTTAAATCTAATCACTCTGACCTCCTCACCGATCACACGCCACATTTAAACAGAATGTGAAGCAGACTGGGAAAAAACACACAAATCTTACAACAGACAGTTCAAAATGAAAATGAATATGAATGCATGTTAGAAACACTTCCAACAATAGTGTTTTTAGGCATTTTACACATATGACACAACATTTATTCCCAAAATCATGTCAACTTATTCTAATATCATTACCATGACATAAACTTCAGATTTTCTTTTACTTTTAAATAAACACATCTGATCAAAAATAAGAACATTTTAAAATCTTTGTTTTTTAAATGTGGGTGCAATGTAATATTTTGAAACAAATCAACCCTTTGGTTGAGCTTATCTAAGCACATTTACCTCAGGCACTTAATGGCTAATCTAAGACAATCTATATAGTTATAAATGATCTATTTATATGGAAAAATATTATTTAATACATTCCACTGAACAACCATTAACATCACTTGTGTTTAAGTGCATTTAAAGAAGCAGTTTGAGGAGTAGATTGCTGTCACTCAAAGTGAATTAATGAGCTTCTACTGTAACATGAAATTAAACAACTTGCTAATTTTTCTATCCTAAATTAAGAAATTGCTTGTAATGACCTTAAATACAACCAGATATTTAAATAGTGCACTTCTAGAGGGGGGAAGGAGGAGCAAAACAGGATGCACAGAGAACAGAGACAGAGGCACATCAAGAACATGTTGCAGAGGGAGGGGGAGACAGCGAGGCAGTGGTATGGCAGACACACAGACAGCTCACTTGGTAAAATGGCACCATTTGTTTCTGTTTAGCACCAGTTTGTCATGTATCAGTTCTGAGATTGAGAAGAGAAAAAATGCACGAGCTCATTCCGGAAACAAGTAGTCCCTTAGGTTGAAGAAAGCAAAACAAAAGTTTCCCAAAATGTTTTTCTGTAACTCAAATCCTAGAGCATGACCCTTTCAGCACATCATTTAAGTCTCTTTCTAACAAAGCTTCGCTGGATGCCCATGTGCACATCTATAGTTAAACCCTGTTGAAAAACTTTCAAAGGCACTAGGAAAAAAGCCAGAGTTCATCACCGAGTCTCTACTGTGAAAGACTGCAGGCTGGCTGTTCAGGATAGTGATGCACCTTTAGTACCTTGCAAAAGTATTCAGACTCCTTGCACGTTTTTACATTTTCTCATGCTACAACCACAAAAGTTAATGCATGGTCTGGGGATTTTATGTGATAAACCAACACAAAGTAGAGATATAAGGAAACTGGAGAATTGTGGGTTTAAAACCTTAAAATTTCTAAAAAGTAAAGCATTTGTATTCATACCTTTTACAACGATGCCTCTAAATAAAGTCAAACGAAACTAATTACATTTAAAAGTTACATAATAAGTAGACTCCATATGGGTGCAATTTCATCTTAGGATAAATCCAGATTTTCTGTGAAGTTTTCAAAGGTTTTCTGGAAACGGCAAGATGAAGACCAAGGAACCCAGCAGAAAGGTCAGTGAGGAAGTTCTGGAGAAGTTTAGGTGAGTTAGCTTATAAAGTAACGTCCAGAGCTTTGAACATCTCACAGAGGAGTCTTTAGTCCATCTTCTGAAGATGGAGAGAGGATGACACAAGACATGGACGTCCATTAAATGTCCGGTCGAGCAAGGAAGCATTAATCAGAGGCAGCCAAGAGCACCATGGTGACTTTGGAGGAGCTTCAGAGCTCAGGTAGGACAATCTGTCGACAATCTGTCTGTGAACTGCTCTTAGTCATGCAGTTCACAGAGGAGTGGCAGGAAGTAAGTGACTGACAGAAGCCGTGAAAAGGTCACAGAAAACATTTGGATCTGGTCAGACTAAATTTGATCTTGGGTTTCATGCATCGAGGTTCATCGTCCAGCAGGACAGCGACCCGACGCATACAGCCAGAGCATAAATGGAAAGGCATGTGTTGGATGGTGTAGTCAAAGTCCAGACTCTAAGAAATTGTGACTAGTCTTAAAAGCTGACGTTCACAGATGTTCTCAACAACCTTCATCTCTAGATGTGCAAAGCTGGTTGAGATGTTCCACCAGACTCTGCTAAACAGTAACTCTGGTTACTTTGATTGTCTACAAATCGATCTGAAATATTAAAAAAAATATGTCTGCTTCCCCTTTGACTTCACAATTATGCTCAACTTTGTGTTGGTCACATAAAATTTCAGGAAAAACACATTTAAGTCTGCTGTTGTGACAAAATGAAATAGAAAAAGGTTTAAAGAGTATGAATACTTTTAAAAGGCACTGCTGCTCCGTTGGGTTTACAGCTTGTACTGCTTCCTTTTTTAAAGGCTACTCTGAAGTCTTTGGGGTGCAAGAGTTTAGTGCTCAACCTTTACGTGATGCAGTCAAAGAGGCGAGGGATTCAAATAGCAGGTTGCTTTCTGTGACAGACTCAAAGTAGGTGCAAAGTATGGTGATCTTGTCCTGCAAGACCAATACTATCTAAAGCTCCATGTGAGCATCAAGTCCATTGAAGAGCCCTTAGTGTTAATGTGTTATGCATCATACAGGGTGATTATTATTTCTCTCCCTCACAGTGTTCTTCTCTCTCTTGCCCAGGTCATAAGGACACATGTATGTTTTCAAGAAAGTGTCTTTTTTTGTATAAAATTGAAACAAAACAGTAGTGGGGGTACAGTTTTTTTTTCCTTTGTGCCATCTCTCTCTGATTTGGCTCCTCGCTGTTGTGTTTGACCTACTCCCCCCTTTAATCTGCGATTCCCGTAGTTGCCGTTGCTGTGGTTCCAGTTGCCTGTGAAGTTGTCTTTAGATTGCCACGGAGCTCTTCAATCTGACTAAGTTGTGAATCAGGAGTGGGTGAGGAGGGAAGGTCTACAATTTGGGGGAGGACTCCATTGTGGGGCGATGTGTTGGAGAAAATGCCAGAGGAAGAGACTGTGGGGCCTTGATCGTTGGTGACCGCTCCTCCTTGTTCTCCTCCTCCTCCTCCCCCTCCACCTTCAGTTTTCACACCGGGGTCTGCTGAACCCAGGGAGGAAAGCTGGTCCTCCTAGCGAGATAGAGAGAGAGGGGAAGGAAAAGAGGAGTGGGAGCAGGGAGAAATGGTCGTAGGAGAAATGCCATTCAATGAACGATGGGAGGGATGATGGATTATAAGAATATGTCCAATTAAGTCATGTTGAGAAAATAATATTAAGAACCGGAGGAGAAAAGCAGGAACAATCAGACAAAAAAGGGAAGAGAAAAAAGAAAGATTGTGATTTGAAGTAGTGAAATGTCAACATTTAAACACAGTAAGAGTTGGTGGAAATGAAGACATGTAAAAGTGGTGATGAAAGCAGAAACCAAGAGGGAATCATAAAGTAAAAAAGAAATGATTAAGGGTCAGAGGAGGAGACAGAGAGAGGAGAGAAAGAGCCAAATGAGTTACAAGGTCGATGCATGACGAACACCAATAGAAATGGGAGCACAGGAAAAGGGACACGGAGAAAGAGGAGATGAAGGGGAATTAAAATTCTCCACGGCCAAAAGATCCTGATTCTCCTGGGATGAGAAGTGAGGAGTCGTGTGTCGGGCATCAGGCAAAGCCAAGAGGTTTTCATACCAGAGAGTAAAATCCACTAAATATCATCTACATGTTCTTACATAACTTAATCACTACAGAATAAAAAAAAAATCTTAATTGTACTAAAACACTAAAGGCTTAGTTTATACTTGCTTGTAAACATGCAAGCCACATTGATGCCAGCACCAGAATTAAGAAGCAATAAAGCATAAAATCCAAAAAATTATAATAAAGACCAAACAGAACCAACCTCAAGCTGACAGAACTGCTGCATGTATTTGTCAAGTAGCTTAAAACCTTAAGAAGACACACCATGAAAAAAAATCATATTAAAGTTCCCATGAAACGACTTTTAATTGGTAAATGTCTTGCTCTCCCTCATCTAATGTCCTGAGAAAGTTCTGGTAATGACCAAAAGCACAGTCGTTTGCTGACTCAAGCTAAACATGATCGAAAAGAAAGTTTAGCCAAAGTCCAACGGGAGGTTTGAATTCACTGCTGCACTGAGCAGAGTTTGATGAGACTAACACTGCAAAAAAAATCTATAATTTTCCTTGAAATATCGGCAGCTTGGTTGCCAAGATTTTGTCATTGGAGATAATTTATTTTTAGTGAATTTTGGGGACTTGGATCACTGACTCTTTCCTGAGATAATAATGCGCTGCATCGCCACGCTGGTGTTCCTCCACGATGTACGAGGCCCATTTAGTGAGCCAGTTCCAGTTTAACATTACTGTTTACTGGAGCCTACCCATTAACACCAAAGATTATGTTATTACTTGGATTGCATCAGATTAGTCATTTCAATGTTACTTTTTTAACCAATTTTTCTCAGGTTTTTATGTTTTTATGCGTTGCTTCATTGGGGTTTTGATGGATTTGATGTTTTTATCTCTATTTCTTTGATTTTCTGTAAGGCACTTTGAAAAACTCTGTGTATTATCGGTGCTATATAAATAAACTGGTCCTGCTAACTTCTATTGATCTCATATATATGCACAGTCACTCCTGTTTCACTGACGCTTAGTGGGCCACAATGTGCTGCAACACTGCAGGTTTGCTGCATTTGTGGTTGAAAATGATGAATCTTGGTGGTTATAATGTTAAGCTGATAGGTTATAATAGACCTGCTTGGCTCATTGGATCCTCAGTGTTACTATGAATCAGTGCTATAATATGAAAATGCCTGGAAACATTATGTTTTGTGCTTCTCAGAAAAGCTCAATTGAACGATTTTAACATTTGTGAAAGTGCCAGTTCAAAATGTCAAAGACGATTACTGTCAGCTCCAGGAAAATATCATCTTTTGGTGCATTTTGACAGTGATTGCAGTGTTTACCCTGCTTTTTGGGTTAGACTGCAGTCTAAATATGAAACAGATCATTTAACATTATTGCTCCCATTCATTTGGCTCAGGCATTTTGGAAAAAAGCTTCATAACTTTATATAATTATCATGATAGAGAAATTGGTTAAATTTGACTTATGTATTGACACAAACAAGTACATCATTATTCTGGACTAATTTTTCTGTTTGTTTTTCCCCGAGGCGTTTTTACATGCCAGATATGACATGTAAAATGATCATGGTATGACCTAAAGGAAAGACAGAAGGGTTTTCATTCAGGCATGACATGCACACATTCAGCTGCTGTCAGACTGATGGAAAGCATGTCTAAACAGGGGCTGAGTGAGCAGACTCAACTTCGGTATACATTTCGTGGGAACTTTAAAGCTAACCCTTTTCTAACAAAGTGAAAAACATCAGGGTGAGGACACTCCCTACACCGGCCTTAAGAAGGTAGTTTGAGTTGTTTGAAGTGGAGTATCTCAGCTCTGAGTATCTCAGTATCCCCCCTGCAGCAAACTTGAAAACATTTTGCATCATAAGATACCCTACCAGGGGCAGTTTTGCAACAATGGCAAATTTTAGATGTCAAGAAAGATTAAGGGCAGTTCAATACCATTCACAATAAGTACAAGTCTGGGTGAAAAATACCTGGGCCAAATTATGGGGCCATCACCAGCAGGAGGAACAGGGTAGAGAGCATGGGGTCTTATGTCATGTTGCTTAAACTAGAATTAGATACATGGATGGTCCTTCCATTGGTCTAAGCTTGAGCAGAAGTTTGAGTGGACAGCAGCAATATCACTGAGTATAGACTGTGGAACCACATTCTTAAGTGTGGCTAGACTACACCTTATATAGGGTATATAGCAAACAGGGAACAGCTTAATTACAATTTCCCATCTCACTGACTTTCTACTACGGTCAAGAAAGTGATTTCCCTGTACCTCCGGGTAGGGAAATGGATCATCTGGCAGGGATTATGTCGGAGAGATTCAGTATGCCAAAGCGTACAGGCAAGTTGAACTTAAAATGTCTTGGAGAGATCTCATTACATTCCTTGAGAAGGATATTGTGTTATCCATAGTGTAACAGACATAACGCATGTCTCCTATTCTGCTAAAATTTGCAGAATAGGAGACGCATCTAAAATTATGAGATGGTGTGCCCATGACTCAAATTTTGCAACAAATAGGACTGATAACAGATTCAAGTTATGGAGCTCAAAAGGATTAACTATCTATTATTCGTTTCCCATAAACGGATATTTCAGAGTTTTGAAACCTTACAGAAGAATCATGGACTGGAAAAAGATTATTTTATTTTAGGTACCTGCAGGTGATATATTATTTTAATAGAAATTTTAATGAGGTGTTGAGAAAAAGTGATTCAAGTTTTATGGGGGTATTTCTATCACTATTAAGCCCAGATCAGACAGCAGAATTATCTCTAAATTATATAATGCCATACAGCTACCTAAAGATGAGAATACAGAATACATAAAGAGGAAATGGGAAAACGAAATGAAGGTAATAATTTCACTAGAAGGCTGGGAGGAAATATGTCAACTGCAGTGGGTCTCGACCAGATCAAACACACGGTGGGAGTTAAGCTGGAAAAACATTGCACCATTTTGTGCTACACCCATTCAGAGACAATATCAAATAAATGGGGACGCCTGCTGGAGACTTTATGGGTCTAAGGGATCCAACCACTTCCATGTTTTTTGGGACTGCCAGGTAATAAAACCATATTGGGAAGAGTTCCACAAACATATTGAAGAAATATTCAATGTAAACATTGCATTCAAATGGGCAACCTACAGTTGGACACATGGACCAATAAAGACAAAAAACTGCTGGCTATCCAACTGGCAGCCAGTAAGAAAGCCATCACAAGAAAATGGCTAAAACCAGATCCACCCACTATCGATGAATGGATTGAAATTGTTTACCAGATTTATGCTATGGAGAAGATTTATTTTTTTCTCCAAGTTGAAAAAGGAAAATTTTATAAGATCTGGACCAAATGGACTGAGTATGTGAAACCAAATTGATCTGACTTCACCTGATTGTTCTGGTGAATTATGTGTCCAACTCTTTTATGTTGTGGATTTTCTTGATCGAGGTGGTGCAATCCCCATTTCTTGTTCAATTCTCTGTTAATTTTTGTTATTGTTCACAAATAAAATTGGTAATAGTCTATAAAAAAATACCAGAAAGGCAGTATGGACAAAATCAATTGCACTACTTATCCTCATGTACGACCTTAAATGGGTAAAGCTGTAATTAACGAATGTGATGGAAATCTGTCTTTCTAAAAAAAAAATAAGCAAGAGTGGCCAATGTTATAGGATATCATTCCTGTTTAATGGATCTTATTGCTGAAAATGCTGTTTATCTCTAATACCTAAACTTGATGTTATATACCCAATGTACAGATGAGCACCTATTAAATTTTGAAGCTGAGCTGGTGCAGCTTCAAAAGAAGCTGGATAGGCTGATGGGAAATGAAAAACTCAAATGTGAAAAGAAAAATGCCTTTTGGTCTGCCTCAAGCAATATCAGCTGACGGAAGTTGGGCTTTTCCAACGATACTTTCAACGTAGAAAGATAATATAGACCTTGACTGAAAAGTGAATTAGGCTGAAGAAAAAGTTATTTGCGGCTCTACTAAACCAGAACAATACATCTTTAGTCTTTAATATATCAACTTGGCTGTTGCTGGCACTTAGGTATTCATTGTAGTTACAATAACCTGGTGGTGGAAAGGACAAAAAGGTAGCAGAGATCCTCTAGGCAGAGTGGCAGAGAGTGGTTCCTCTTATGAAGCAAAGAGACTGCATACTTTAACTCTGAGGAAATCCTAATTCTCAACCTTCAAGTTAAAGTTTGTTGTGAGGAACTGAAAAGTTCATCTAACTTATATTTACAATTTAGATTCAAGAGCTTCAATGCAGATTTCAAAATGTCCATGAAATACGAGACTAGCTTCTAACATTGCAAGGAAAATTGAGGGTGTTTTCTTGAGCAGCTGTTGGTTTTAATATAGAGAATGTTCAGCACTTTGTTCAGCACTTTGTGAACACTTTGTGTTTTAGGTCCCCTATGAGGTGACATTTGGTTCTGTACTAGGAG